AACCGCTTTTCCCGTGTACCAGATAAATGTCAGATAAATGTTAGCGGTTTTGTGGCACATTAATTAAAATGGTACATTACATCCTTCTTTAATTTTCTAACTTTTTTATTTGATTGTTGTGAATTCTTTTTTATTGTTATTTATATTTATTTATTTATTTTACTTTTATTTTTTAATTAATTAATTAATTAATTAATTAATTAATTAATTTATTTATATTTTTATTAAAATATTTATTAATTTTATTTATATTTATTGTTATTAGTTTTTATTTACTGTTCTATGGTATTTTTATTTATTTATTAATTAATCACAGCTTGAACAAGACGAGTCTGGTCGAGAAAGAAAGGTTTCCGAGAAAAATACAGATTTTCAGGTAACCTGCTCTATCTAGCGGCGTATGCGCTAACCGCATTCCTGAATATACAGGTTTTCACGTAAAGTCTGTTCTATCTAGCGGCGTACGCGCTAACCGTATTCCTGAACATGACGCAACCAGATAGCGTGGTCGTCAGTTTCATACAGAAGCTACCACGATAAACTCTTGCATCATGGAACCTGTGAAAAACGATGAAGTTTAAGCATGATGTAAATAACGAAGTGTTGCATTCCCGAAATTACACAGAAACCATTGAAAAAGGATAGTTTCTCTATGGCAAAAACAGTCAATCGGAAAGGATCCACCTAAACCCCAACCAACATGACGGACATGAGCAGCGATGGCGGGCTTTTGAATTCAATTTGCCGAGATACGCAAGCGTGGAAATAATATTGAGTAAGAACTGATCGTAAAATTCCATCATGAATGTGTTCACAAAATAAAATTGTATAATACTGCAAATGCTTTTAATGATTTGAATTTCGAAGTTCTTATTGCTACCTTTATTCATATTTCACCTTGTTCCATTTAATTAGAAGCTAATTTATGCTAGAGATTCCCGAAATCTAGAAAAATTACATTGGTTGTATTTCTATTCCAAATGCCATATGCATATTTTATCTGTTTGTGAATTAAATAAAGAAGTTAAATCTCAACAGAAAGACATCTGACAAATTGTTAATATGGTTGTTGAAAGACATTTTAGAGAAATCAAAACTGTTATTTGATTTTTTAAATTAATACTATTAAAATCGTCTATTTTAGTTTTACTACAATTACAAGGAAGTTATTTTCATTTCCGAGTGTTAAGATAATTCAAGTTTTCATTGCTTCAATTAGTTTGACTAAGTTGGGGGTGTTTTAAGAGGGCATCCAAGGTAGTCAATTACACTATAATTAATGTAGTAGTGAGACGATAATTGAATAATGTTTCCTACAATTATTTGTTACGTAAATGAGCCATTACTCTCCAAGATTAAAGCTGTTTCATTAACGAATATGTCTCTTTCATACAAGTAGCGGACTCGGTTTTTCTTAAGCATAGCTACACAATCTTCAGCCTTGAAAGTCATCAGCCGATGGACAATATACCTCATTGAAAGAAACCAGTTCAGATCTCACCCTGAGCCATAACCAACACAAATACGATTTGGAAGGTAAAGTTTGTATTTTTTTAGTCTTCATAACTACTTGCAGACGGCCCTTAGTTTATCTAGAATGTTCTTAAAATACAACACAAAACGCTAAAAATTAATTAATTGTAGTTTGCTTGCAATGAAGACGAATACTGATAGACAAATTTCAAACCAAAATGAATAGGCGGGGATGGTGACGAACGACTTTGCGGTAAGATGAGTTTGAAATTTCGTCTTCTGACCCCACATGCTCTAACAGCTATTCCTTTTCAAATATAGATTTTATTATCAATTTTGGGATTTAGTTGTTATTTTATTTCATTCTGTACTTTTATTCGTGGTTGTTTCTTCGTTATGCTATTCAAATGTTACTACATTTCTAGTGATCTGCAGCATCAAACTTCCTACTGAACAAATCCACAGAAAGTGGTTTTCCAAACAAATAGCACGCACACTTCTCAAAAACAATACATAAAATAATTGTTCCAACTTCAATAAATCATAGTTTATAAAAACTTCATTAAAACTACAATGACGTAGTATACAGTACAACAGTTCGTCACATTCATGAGTGGTCCTAAACAGCACGTACTATCTCATCCGTATTTTAAAGCAAATTCACGCGAAAAGTATTCAAATTTTCGAATAATTGTACCTTACCTTCTTACAAAATCTATCTTTCAGGAAGAGATTTCATTAAGGGAAATATCACTATCTACAATATTTTAGTTGTAGAAAGACTACGGAAGAAATTGAACTTTTGCAATTTTCGAAAAATCAGGCTTTTAAAACGAACACAAGATCTGCTCTGCTTCTCATAAACGTCTTTCACACTATCCAACAATAAAATTTAATCAAAAACGATGGAGCCATTTTTTATGTGTTTGAATATGTCCCAAGGCTTTATGTAAAGTATTCCCATAAATTAAAATATCTGTTTCAAATTCAAGGGGCCGTGATATCAGTCATATCGATGGGGGATACCAATTTTGGAGAAAATCGGCTGAACGATTTACCCACTAACGTCCATTGACGGACGGACGGACGGGTGGACGGACGGACGGACAGACGGACGGATGGACGGACGGACGGACGGACGAACGGACGGACGGACGGACAGACGGACGGACGGACGGACGGACGGACGGACAGACGGACGAACGGACGGACGGACGGACAGATGTTTTCCGTCATTCGATTTTTCGTTATCAACGACCACAACACATGGATTCATACTACACCACGTATTAGACGATTTTTTTCTAAATTTAGCGTCTAAATTTATCCACTTTTTCGTTGCTAGATTCCTGTAATAAGATTGAAAAATAAAGAAATGAATGAAAGAAGGACATTAAAAATGAGAAAAGGGATACTCTTGTTTACTTTTCTCTTAAATTTAATACGTTAAACTGAATCACATTTAACATTTCAGGATGGTTGAAAGTTACATTTTGTCTCTTCGATTGCAAAAAAAAATTGTAATAAAAAATTATCACTCAACAGAAACTAGTGGAGAATATTCAGTTCTGATATGTAAATTGATGCTTTTTACTAATTTTTCAATATCTGTTGTTTGGATGAACTTTACTCGAGTTAATTCTTTGCAAAACTCTCAAGCATTCTGTAAACGTCTCCTACTACATTCCACTAAGACTTCTTCGATAGTCGTCTTAAAGTTCCGTGACAACGTAAAGGAGAAATTTGAAAGTGGACATTGCATATAATTCAGTTTCTAATTTTGGATTCTTCACTGCGTGTGCAACAATGCAGTCTTCATCATTCAATGAGAGCAGACGTTCTTTCAACTTCGTGAAATGTTCACACTGAAAAACATCACATAAAATTCATGGTCCCCAACTGGTTCTGATGGAAAAAAAATTGGGCAATGGCAAACACGTGATATTCTGTAACTGTGCGTTCTTCTCGGAGCTTTGTCAAAGTCTTCATAAGTTCGGAAATGAAGTTATTTGCAGTGATGTTTTCTACTCTTACTTTAAGTATCTATCTGATGGACATGGGGGTGTCTCTACATTTCTGGTGAAGATGGGGGTAAAGAATTTTAAAGTGTCGAAATGCTGAAATTATGTATGTTGCCTGATCGATTACAACTTACCATATTTTGCTGTATGTAGTTCCTAAAGACCACAGTGCACAGCATCAGTCATTGAAACATTGCGTAATGCATATACTTTTGACTTTTTCTAATTGATACTTTGCAAAAAAGACTAAATTAGATGGGTCTCTTACAAAAATGAATGCTTAGAACTTCCCTCTGAGTACAGCCTCTTATTTCAATCAGAATAAAACAAACAGGATTGTCTCGAACTTTATCTTTCACTCTCTGAATAGTGACTTCATAAATTGTTTTTGTGTAATTTTTTCTCAGAGTACTTTCATCCGGAAGTGACCTTTCTGTGAATTTTTCTTAGAAATTGTTATTTGCTAGTTCATTAACTTTGTGAAAGGGAATGTCGCATTGCAAAAGGCATTTAAAAAATGAGTTCTGAGGCTACCATTTTCTTCCGCCTTTAGTAAAGATGCAGGAGAGAAAAATAGTCTGTTTCGAAGCTTTATTGCAAACTCCTGCTTTTCTGCTGCTTTGCATATTTCAGCTGTGTTATTAGATCTTTAATATGCTTCTTATCTACATTAACGATAACATTACACATGTTCAGCTTATAATCCTTCCGTCAATGTGGATAAATCCGGTCTTAACATTTCTCGCAAAGAAAATTAGCTTTCCGCTGCATCCACACAGTCGCCGTATTCTTAACGCAATCTGCCACTATCGCACAAGTCATTGAAACTCTCCGAATATAAATTTAGACTAAATACACAATATTTTAGTACTAGGAAATTACAATTAATTCATGTTCATAAAACTTCCCTCTTATTCGGTTTTAATGCAATTTTTCTCAATTTCCAAATGTGTCCTAAATTGCGCAGATATTTTGACAATCACGAACATCGGATTGTTGAATTTCTCCGCGAAAATAGCTGTAGCGAAAAGGCATGCGAGACCAAATGCAGCATCTTACATTCCACTGATATATTTTCCATCTATACTTCTTTGAAAAACTCCTTTGTACACTCGGTAAGTAAGCAAGATATCTAGTCGGACTTAATTTTTGAAATGTTTTTCAAATTGCGAAATTTTCTCGGTAAGTAAGCGAGATATCTAGTCGGACTTAATTTTTGAAATGTTTTTCAAATTGCGAAATTTTCTCAATGTAATCAGAAGCAATATGCCGCGATAAAAGGAAAATTTTACTAAGATGGGGAAAAGATAAAAATAAACCCGCATTATTATTGGTTAGAATAATGTTATGAAATATGTCGTTAATTATTCAATTTTACGCGAACAATTCACTAAAAAAGAAGCAAAAAAAAAGAAACACCTTTAAAACAGTGTCTCTGCACATTACTTTTAACTTTGTATTACTATTTAGCTGTATGCTTAATAGTATGTAAGGCTAATGACACACGCAACAAAAGAATTAATAGTCCAAGAGATAGAAAACTTCTTTATAAATAAACTTAATTCATTTTATTTATAACTATTTACAAGAATATCATTATATATTTCACAGTATTCTGTACATGTAGAAGCTCATTTCACATTCTAAAATAGTATATGTACAATAATTCGCAATGATTTTATCACATCAGATTCAGGATATACAATCCTGAGTGTATCCCAATCTGTAATCCCTGTACAACCTCAAGATATGTAAATGCCACAGGGGCATAATAATTTTACAATATCTATATTTTAGAGGAAAACCCTTATACAATATAGTTTTCATTAATGTTGGGATGTTGTAAATGTAGTCACAAATAATTTTAACAAAGGAAGACATTTACCATTTAATATATGAAATGGGACATAGAATAGTTTGATGCTTTGAAGACCTTTTTCTAAGACAATTTGTGGAATTTAGAATTCACTACTACCAATCTAAAATTATTTCAATTTTAGTGTGATTTCTTGGAATTATGTATTACATATCCTCATCTGCTAAAAATGTATAAACAAGGAAACACTCACAATTTTGTACCAATTAAAGTACTAGGAAATTAGATACATTTAAATGATTTATACCTCTTCTCCAAGTGAGATACTTCTATGTCACTTTCTGACACTAAAAAAAGTGTCAAGGCACATAACCAACGTCTACAATGCTTATCATTGTACACATTTTTCTAAGACACCCGTCAAAGTATGATATCAATATATTAATGAAATACATAGCACTGAAATATGGCGTCATTTCTTTTCTATAGACAATATTTCTAAACTGAGAAATTAATGATATAATACTTTCAATATAACACATATTTATAGAAATAGGTCGCTAAAAATGAAGTCAAAAGAAAGAAAATAATAATTGTTATCCAACACACAAAATATTATATCAGAATGATGGTTTTAAATTACTGAAATTAATTCTAAATATTTATCAGTTTGTCAATGATAAAATCAAGATCATTAAAAATATTAAAATTATAATTATTATCATAGTATTCTGAGAAAATATATTCAACCATAACAACAACAAAAAAGATTTACCCACTGAAATGTTGCAAAATAGTTCTGATATTTGTTCTATCACAGTATACAATCACTTGAAATGTGAATTTTTATCTGAACAGAATATCTCCACACTATATTTCTTCAATAATTAATACCATTCAGCTTACACAATTAATTAAAGAAGTCTTCAATAAGAACTGAGGAATATGTATCAAAGTATTCACTCCATAATTTTAAAATATTCGTGCTGCTTAAAGGCACTACTTGTTGAAACATTAAATGACAGTTGTTTCATGGTAATAAAGGAAAGGATATATAATGAAAGTAGTAAGACAAATTATAATTATCTCAATTAAAAAATTATTATAAAATTATTTTAATTTCTGAATGTGCAATGATTGTTTGTTTTGAGCAAAAATGTAAAAATTGGAAAATGCATTTGTTTTAATGATTGTCTTCTCTTAGGTATATCTACCAGTTTCTGTGGTCATTAAAAAGGTGGTTGAATAATGAAATATAAAATTATTCCATAATAGGTTTAAAAATGACAGAAAAGTGGTTTCATCGAATACGTTTGAAGATGATTCTTCAATGACTGTTAACTGAAATAATGTTTTTATAACAGCCATTATCGCAAAGCACTATGAAATCAGTACTTTAGTCCCTTTGGTCTGAAAATAACTTTCCAAGGTGAATATAAAAAGTGACAATTAAGAGTCCTCCCAAAAGAGGCACTGGGAACAATATGAATTATCATGAATGAATTAAAATAGAGGTTGTCAAAGCATAATGAATAATGGATGATCACACAGATATGTTTACAGACTCTACAATAAATATTCATTAATTCTATTAATAACTTACTTCGTCCAGGTACTGTAAATGAATTTCCAAACCAGATCGACGAACCAGAAACAAAATGTTCCATATCAACAAGTTGTAACACATTGTAATTATGTTATGTACTTCATGCTCATTCAAATAAAAATAAAAATTGTTGCAACATATATAAACATGACCAACAAATTCAATACTCATCAGATAGTCTACAAATGTTTTATCGTCAGTCTTTTAAGTACACGAAGACCACAAATGATTGTAAATGTGATTTCCAATTAATTATGTACTGGCTAACCGGAGAAGACTAAAGCCACTTTCGTCCAACGTCTGTTGATGCTGAATGGAAGATCACTGCTGATTTCCCCAGATACCAACAAATCAGCTGTGGCAAAACTAAAAAACTGAAAGTAGAAATTATTTTCAGATTAAAACCTCAATACATAAAAATAAACAGATATAAAATAAATGTCACAACAATCACCAACAATCCAATTAATAAATGTCACAACTTGTATGGAATATTAAGCTTATACATCTTTATATCTGTTAAAATATTCATATTTATTTATGTATCTTTAAAAAAATCACATTTTTTTCATCAATATATTACAAATTATTTTTGGATCTTTTGAAATTATTGAATAGATATTTGAAGAAAGTGCTCAATTGATTGATTAGTGATTCAGGACGCGTGAACAGCTAAGGTCATTAGTCCCGTGAGGGTAGAGCGTTTTTTTTATCGTGGGAGGTGACGGTGATGTTCCTTCGGATGGCGAGCTACTCCCCGGCTCGCGGCGGCGGTGGTGAAGGTGGTTTTCTCCCCACAACCAGCCACCTTCCACCAGCGGCGCACCACCCGAACCGGAGCACGCTCTATGCTCCCGGCATGGGCATGTAAATGTTAATGTGTGTAAGTACGGGGTGAGTATGTATAACGGAAGAGCATGGAAAGATAGCGCGCGGACCGTGGCCCGTTTTGGGGGGCAATGTTCTGAAATGCGCCTCTGGTTGAGCGGAGAACCCACGAAAAAATACCGATCAGGGCTACCGGTCCTGAGCTAGACTTTTCGTCCAGACAGCGGTTGAATTCTAGCTAGCTAGCTCACGACAAAAATCCTGCCACCCTCGGATCTGGAACTCTAGGACATCCCGGTTAGAGGCACTACAATAACATCAATTCGTGTCCTGAGTCACCTAAGCTGGTAGAAAGATCTCAAGATAATCCCATTACAGCTAATTTCCGAATCTCGCTGATTCGCGAATTAGCCGTTTAATGTTTACATTCACATGGGTAGATTAAGCCCAAAGTATGAATAGGTTCAAAGAACTCTACGAACTTAAACCGTATGTAGGGCACTTTATGAAGTGTCTAGGGTAGGTTAAATACGTAACGAAGTCGGGGAATAACTGATAGACAGGAATCGGACTAAAAAGCAAGTGAGAGAAAGAGAAAAAGTGAAAGCAAGTGAGAAAAAGCAAGTAAAAGATGTGTAATTTCGATTTAAATAAGTCAGTCGTCAATTTCTACCGACACAACACCATAACCACGGAACATAATCTAACGTATTACACATCATTTACATCAGGTGACGCTTCGGTTTGTATATCTGAATTGAGGTGACAAGGATCCAGACTTCCGTCTTCGCGATTTCTATAAAACAACATTAATTTTCAACGCATTTTTATGGCAAAAAACTTCTCTTGAACACACTCGGACCATCTGCTTACTGCGGACAGCGCCCTGTGGTTAGTTCGCAAATTAATTGGATGTTGTCCAAAATGATCTGTTCATCGTTTCACACAGTTTAATTCAAACTGGCTAATGTGCGAACGAAAACCAATGCCATGGAAGGGAAATACCAATTAATACCAATGTTTTGGAAACCTTACAAACCAAATCGTAAAAATGTTTTTCTTAATATACTATAAATGTGATATCTGCTAGGTCAAGATAGTGACACTAGAAGAATATAGAAATTAGGAAACAGAAAATGCCAAGAGTTTCTAAAAATTATGGTGCTCTTCATTTGCTTCAAATATTTTTCAATGAAACATTAACCTTAGCTAAATCAAAACTTTAATGTAAATACGTGATGGTTTTTAGTTCAAATTTAAAACTAAATGAACTCTAATAAATGAAGTAGGTCTGGGACCTACATTTTCATCGGCTATAGAGTGACTTCGCATGATTCAATGAGAAAATTGATTCCTTGAATTGCTTTGCGATAGCAAATGCAGAATTTCATCCTCCTCCCGAACCATCAGCTTTTATCAGAACTATAACCCTACGATGCATGGACTCGGGAACTAACGTGATTGCACAGGCAGGGCCTGTGATGCTCGGCGCAATACTGTCTCGAAAAATGTTCATAAAAGTATTTTTATTCTTAAAAAGTGCATTTCTTAATAAAAGTCTACTCGTTATATTAAAAAAATGATTATTTATTTACAAAACTATATTAATAGAGTCTTAAAAACCTTGCATTGACCTAACCAAATATAAGGACCTACCTACATAATCTCTGGGAAGCAACGTTCTTAGAAATGTAGCTGTGCAGAGTAAAAACGAAATAAAAAATGCTAGGACCTCGGAGACCCTGCGGCATCCGAGGCATCCTAAACACATTATTAAGCTCGTGATGGTACAACAGCACTGCTAGAATTTGCTAGAATTTTTTCCATCATTTGCAATTTTCGAAAATTCAGAGTTTAACGCAAATGCGAGCCGCACCATTCTTTTAAGCATCTCTTCTTCTATCCATGGAAAAAAATAAAGAAAATAATCGCAGTGTTTTTTGATTTAAAAAATGTAAATTTTTGTAATTGCCTATATTTCGCGCGTTGAATCTACGGGATTTCTCCCGTTCGATATCTCCCCCATCGAGAACAGCCTCAGCCACAAGCTGTAATCTCCCGACATGTGTGTTTCTGTAGTAGAAGGAAGTGTAAATGTGACTGTGAGAGGAGAGAAAGGAGAGATCGAGTGTCCAGTTTGTCATCATTTGCGTGGTCAGACGGAAGAGCAGGTCTCAAGGCCTGAGTCTCGCCACGTAAAATAAGGCATCGATTGAATTGAATTGAATCGAATCGAATCGAATCGAATTTGTGAGAGTATTGCTCCGGCATTCGTCTGGAATTGGTCAGCGAAACTACTGCTCGCGTAAAACCACTGATCAGAGCAGCCGGCTGAATTCGTCTTCGCAATGAAGCTAGTGTCGAAAATCCACCCCCGTCAGGATAGGACCTCTCGGCCAGGGGCCCTGCAGTGGGAACAGTTATCACCCTGAGCCGCCTCATCCGGTTGGTGGGTCGGGTGCGGGGCTGGGGCTGAGGCTGGTACTTACGGCGGGCGCTGGGCGTCAGAACCTGCTGTGGGCGTGGTCGAGGGCGTCGGCGTCGAGAGCGCCGGGGCCCGAGGGGTTGACGAGGCCGCCGTCGGGGCTGTGCGCGCCGCCGTCCTCGGCCAGCGGCAGGCGGTCGCCCTGTGTGGGGGCGCGGGGCTTCTCGGCGGCCAGCGCCAGCGTGGGCAGCGGCGTCTGAGCCACCTTCGGCCCCTCCGCCCCCTTCGGCGGCGCAGAGAACACCTAAGGCACAAGCATTCATTAGTGGTTCCAGCTAATAAGGGCATTAGTTGCATGAGCGGGGTGCAACTAATTTTAGCGGGTGAGGTGGCGGCAGGGTTGTCCGATTGGGGAATTTTGACCCCAAAGTGAGATTTTTTGTCTACGTGCGAAAGAATGGAGAGCATAACGAAATGTTTGGGGACTTTTTGGGGAAATTATTTTCACCCTGAGTCGAGATAGAAGTGTTTTTCTTTGAATTATTATCAATAAAAAGAAACAATGGACGTTGTTTTCTCACTTTTTATGTATCAAAACGAGAGAAATAAACGAAGGACATAGAGAAAGAAAAATATGAGAAAAAAGTAGATATAGGGTTTAGAGCAGCTCAAAAGATGACCGGTTGATTTCAATTATTTGAATTTAAGGGGACAGCCAATGGAATCAGCAGGAACAGCTCAGTCGTTTATCTATAATTTGGAGAATAATTTTGGTTTAAAAGTTGGTGACTTTTTTTTCACTAGTTGGAGGTTATTTTTAGATATTCCTTAGTAGTGGTGGGGAAAGAGCTCGCAACACAGCTGCCAACCCTGGATGGCGGTAATCATCCCCCGCTGAATGGCGTCAAGCGGCGCCGACATAGTGACAAGGTTCTGTGCTGAACGAGTGTAACTGGGGCGGAGCCATTTAGGATTAACTGGTGGAATTTTGGATCATAATGGCTTTAATTCTAGAATACGAACATATTATCATAATATTGATCAAATCTAGTATTTTTGGAAATCTTGGATCAAAAGCGAATTCTCTAAAATAGTGATTGGGAATCAATGTATGAGTTAGAGAGTGAATGAATTAAGGAAGGAAGGAAGGAATAATGACAGAGCTGAGTAAAAGTGAGTGCGTGAAAGTAAATGGTTGAGATTACGAGAGAGAAGGGGAGAGAGGGAATGAGCACTCGAAGAACGAATGAAGTGTCACCTGCAGGAAGTCCCAGCTGTCGGGCAGCAGCCGTCGCTGGAAGAGCTGCCGTGTGCCCCAGCTGCACAGCAGATGCGCCGCTAGCGCGCACAGCATCGTCAGCGTGCGGAACGGGAACTTCTGCACCTGGGCTTCCTCGTCGTACCAAGGGTACTTGATGGCTGCCGGAATGCCCAGGCCAGGCTCACCGCCTGCAACACGTCATCGACAGACCCTCGCTTATTGCCCTTCCGGAGGCGTTGATAAACTGTAATGAACCCCGTGAACCCCGAAGAAAGATGCGTTCCTCAAATATCAGTCAGCCACTTGGATGAACATTTCCTATCTCGTACAAAGAGATTAAATATCCAACTCTCCGAGGGCTTTTCTTCAAAATGTCGCGTTATTAGCTAATATTTCAATAACTGAAAAGAAAAGGCGAAATGTGTAGTGATGACAAATTTTATCAAAACATAGATATTTTGATACATCCCTAAAAGGTTTTCGATGTTGATGGAAATATCGATGTTTTGAGTATGATAAAACAGATAGTAATATCCTATACGTGTCCATTGTTAATTATAGTACTTAAAGTACCGGTATATTTTTTGTTTGGTCACATATAAGTAATATGTTAATGATAATAATAATAATAATAATAATAATAATAATAATAATAATGTTTATCGAATGTAAATAAGGAAATAAAAAATAAAGGACATCGTATTCTCCTACTATTCCAATTATTCACTTTCATTTATTAATCATCGAAGTAAACCGTCTTGTATCTAACGTTCATAACATGTAAATATTAGTTTAAAGTAAAATATAACCTTAAAGTACTCTGACATCTTCATTTAAAAATCAATATTCTATGCAGGAAAGATTCAACAAGCAGTTTAACGATATACCACGAACAAATTGATCGAAAAAGATAAACATATTTTTAAAACAGACGATATTTCTGAAAAATATATCAATCTAAATAATACCAAAAATCATCGATGTTAATACATCGATGTTTCTGATAAAAATATTGATTTTTTAAAATCTCGATGTGTTTTTGCCTTCCCTATGTATGCGTGGTCATTATTTCTCTAAATCAAGAATTTATAATCTGGGGGGCGCGTTATTATCGTATTCTATTCGGGGGGAGTCTCAAACATCTCATTTTGCCCGGGGCGCAAAAGAACCGGGCGCCGGCCCTGAGGAGCGCCGTCTGAACGAATCTCGCTTCAGCGCCGAGGCTCACCGAGCAACCGCAGCACGATGCCCGCCACGAAGGAGAAGAGGCAGCCGTAGGTGTTGGCGCCCTCCCAGTGGGTGACTAGCAGCAGCTGCGGGAACAGGATCACGTACACGATGTCGGAGCAGAGCACCCTGCGCGCCAACACACCAACATTTCGCCTTAGTTTTGAGGATTTATTCATTTGAGAGAACATAACCATTTGGCTAGCATGCAGCTTGCACAACGATGCCCGGAATTTCATTCAGATAAAATCGCGCAGATAAAAAGCACGCAGTACACCTACGGGACTCATGGCCTTAGCAGTTGACGCACCCAGAAACAGTAATCGATCAAAGGCAACTTACGAGAGGTAGTAGATGCTGTCGACGGTGAGGGCGATGCAGGTGGAGATGACAGAGATGACGACCACCGTCAGCCGCAGCACCCACAGCACCTCGCGCTCCGATGCCTGCGCACGACGTGCAGATTTGCATTTACTCAGGCAAAGACAGTAACAACTGTATGTGACGAAGGGGGGAGTTCCACAATCCCTTCCCGTTATTTTAACTATCAATAGTTGAAAGGTGAGTAAAAGTTTAACATAAATAAATAAGTAAATTTAAAAAATAAATTTTTAAAATCATAAGATTAGCAATATTTGAAAAATAATCATTTTCGTTTCTGAGTTATAGAAAACGTATTTGCATCGGTACACAAGAGAACATTGCACGGCGATGCGCGCGATAAGAAACGATGTTCAATGAATATTACGAGGTACTCATTTTAAATACACGTGTAAATTGAAGGAAAATTAAGTTGCTTGGCTTTGTGAGAGGAGTCTGATTTCGGTAGATACCCGGTAATTTGGTAAAGAAAAACAATGAAATAGTTTTGATTCTGTTGAAACATTTGATGAAGTTAATTTACAGATAATCATAATGACGTTATGACTACTATTCTCATATTCTACTAGTACATCACTGCTGAGAAAGAAGCTTCACTATTTAAAAGTGACGTTTTAGAACAGCCATTTTTTCCTGCTCTATGGCGACATTTTCCACAGACTCGACAGCAGCATTTTTCCTGACGCGTGCAATTAGTTATACACTAGTTTCGACCAAAGGTGAAGGCGGTATAATTTTGAATTATTAAATACAGATGATTCTTCTGCGGTGCTCCAGTATTTACTTAACCCAATTATCATTTCAAAAGTACTGTCCAACCCTCCCGACGTACCCATTCAATCAATTTCGAATTATTTGGGCGTGTACTGACCAAAGAACTTAATACGCAAGTTCTCCTTACCTTAGGGCGGATGGCCAGCTTGTAGATGTTGCGCGAGAACATGGAGCTGGAAGAGAGAATGCTGGAGTCGGCGGACGACATGACGGCCGCAGAGATGGCTCCGAGGCCGAAGAAGGACACCCACTGCACAAAGCACATCACCTTAAGTAGGACTTCTCATACAACGTCCGAATTTTCTATTGTTTCCTACCTAACGCTTCAACAAGATGTTAACAATATCTTGACGACTACGCAGGTCGAATCAAGAGTAGCTGTAGATGGAATGAAAATTAATAAAACCTCAACTAGATATGGAATAATAACGAATGGTCTAGGACCTACACTCTAGGTTACAGAGACCACAATTCACAAATTCTTACAATTACTAATAACAAATACACTGACGCAATAAATAATACACGCGTGTGTAGAGTCTTTACTAAAGCGAACGTAACTTGACTAAAGCTAGACCTGTGTAGATTGGATGTGCGCCTTGAGTACTCACCCCGGGAGTGAGGTAGCGCAGGGTGAGCGGCAGGATGATCGCCTTGTCGTCGTCCGTTATCTCCCGACCGAAGCCCTCCACTTCCGTCCAATCTGCAACATTCCCGCTCCCTTACATACTTTCTGGCAATGCATTTGGCTGTTCATAAGAATCACTGGAAACTTTAACTACTTGGCTGCCGGGGAGACGCCGCGTCCTAGGCACCGGCTCCGGCCGCCATTCTGCGACCTTCTTCAGGACAAAATGCTCCCGAAACGTTGGCAACTGTGCCTAGGACGCGGAGGTTCCCGGACAGGCAAGTTACTGGCTCGGCCCCGGCAGCCTACGCTCTCACTGCAAACTTTGTTATTGGGAGAATATTTTTTGTTTTCCGGATTAAGAGAACATACAGGTGTGCAAGTTTTTAATTGTGTGTTTGAATGTTTTATCAATCGCTAAGGTTGCAAAATGGTTACTTTCAGGGCTTGATTTCTGGCGGAACGCCGCGGAACGGTGCTACGGCACCTCGGGAACAAAATGGAACAAAATAGAAGGAAAAACACTTGGGAACTTCGATTTTTATTTCGGTCAACTTTCGTAAACTCAAAATTAATTTTCCATTTAACTGTATCATTTCTATGAATATAATAAAATTATTAGTGAAAATGATAAAGTATTATAAACCTTATTTTTTATTTTCTATTATTATTGTTATTATTAATATTAATATATTCAAATAGAGGCAGTGCTACCACTGTTACAAATTGTTATTCAGTATGATTTATCATTATTAAATTATAATATAATGTTTAAGTATTTCTACTAAATTAACAGACAGGTTGTTGTCAACTTTTGAGAGAGGTGGAACTTGCGCCGTCGCATGTACAACGTACGCAGCGACCAACGGATATCTTCTCTGAAATGCACCAATTACGATGTCAGCACATAGAAGCTTTAGAATCTTAGAAACACTACATATGCCAAGAACAATTTATATATCACCTGCTAGGGATTATTCTCGTGCTTTTTATTAGGTCTTCGCATGGACATCGCCGCTGCTGACGTTTGGGGCGCGCGTGCCAACATTCAATGAGTACACATTATGTGACCTGCTAAGATTTTCAAAAATGCACTGATTTTGTACGACGTACAACTCGACGCTAGGTGAAAAGTACTCTATTCCCCGTGTGGAGTACACGGGGAATACAGCGACCAATGAATGGTCATGGCTTGCGTTTCAACAAAATTTGTAGCAAATTGGCCTCTTCGAGGAATTGAACTTCCTTAGAACCGTAGAATGTAGGGTAGAAATACGTGTGTAAATTTAATTCTTAAAAAAGATACCAAATTTGTGATTGCACAATCATGATGATGCAGCTGGCCTGGATAGTCGAAGTTGCTAAGGTTGAAGCTGCCTCGTACCTAAAGGATCACGGGTTCGAACCCCGCCCAGGGGATGGATGTCCGTGTGTATCCGTATACCGTTGCTTTAACCCCCAATGTTACTTACAGCGGTCGCTACATGACCTTAGTAGTTGAAAAACGGCCTTAAGTAAGTAGAATGAATCAGGTTGGAGCATCGGAATGCGGTCCGTTGTTCGCTCACTTGGAGGGTGAAAGGCACTCACTGGTGGACTTGGCGACGACGCCGAAGAGCGCGGGCGGGAACGCCATGAAGAAGCAGCCGAACATGGCGAACACCGACAGCACCTGCGCCTGCCGCACGGTGCGCATCGACAGGATGCGCTGGAAGTAGCCCTGCGACCACAAGCCACGAACAAGGGCTTTGAGAGATGAAAGGCATTTCTGCAATTTGTGTGTGTGTTTGTGCGTGGGTGGGTGGGAGTGTGTGTATGTGGATGGATGGATGGGTGGGTGGGAGTGTATGTGAATGTGTGTATGTGTGTGTTGTAAGTAGTTGTATGGGTGCGTGTGTGTGTTTGGTTGTTACGAAACTACTAGACCCAAAGTTCTCGCAACAGCGTAATCACACATCACGATCTTTTATACCGCCGATAAGTAATTCAGCTATAGCTCATTGCCACCCATCAAACGTCGCTTCCCATTTGCCTCTCTCTTGAGGTAATTTAAATTAGAACATTTTGAGTCGAACATAAAGCAAATATATTATTCTTGAATTCATGTAACCAGAATCAATCGGCAAATGTTACCTTATCCACTTCCGCAGATATATTCTTCCTTACTTCAGAATCACCGATTAACTCGTTGAAGTACCTTCCCCAAGGTTTTTCCCACCTTCCAAGATCCTGAAGTAGATATTAATTGAGTTTTAAACCCAGCATGTCAGCATGTTAATATTTTCGGCCCACATTCAGGCGTTCTTTCCCTGCCTACTCGATCCAGTCTGCCTCAACAAAACCCGCGTCCGTAGTAACCGACAATACATCCCTCAATTATTCTTTGCTACAGGTTCATACCACACGTAAAAACAATTATATTTTCATATCGAAAAGTGGTATTGAGTCTCGTGACTAGTTGTTGGTCAGGGTGCTCTCTTTCCCCTACGTGGCTCCGGGTTCGATTCCGGGTCGAGCCAAGACTATAGTGTGAGTTTTCCTTGCAATGCCCTTTCCTTGCAGCCAATGCATGTTGCTGTTTGACGATAAGAAAATTCACTTCTCAGGTTGAGAAGACCGGAATACGGCGTGGGGATGTCCATGTGCTAACCACACGTACCCGCTTAATCCATGGCCGCGAGACAGGGGCGTGACCGGGAGCCCTGAGCCCGTTCACGGGCTGTCGCGCCAAGTGCATACATACAACAGTGGTATTAGTTCAATGCTCACCGCTTGATCCGTGCTACCCGGATCGCCTGCGCTTGGTCAACGTTTTTGAGAAAGGAGATCGCGCGGTTCGTAGGTCGTCGCTGAAGGTACTGCTCCAGCACTTGCGATTGCGATATAGGGGAAAACACGGAAACGATAGATCTAAGCAGTCGGCCTCGGTAGAATTATCTTCTTGGCGGTGGCGGCCACAACTCAGATATTTCACTTGTCACATATTCTGCGGCTGACGGGAGTCCATCGTAGAAATTCCCTAGAAATAGAAGCTGCGGCTGCAAACTAAGTAACTATTTTCACTATCACCCCTACGTATTGCAGTTTAGAAGCAAAGCGAAAGGGTATCTCAGCTTGTTTGCTCTGAGCGGTCTATGCTGATTAGCGAATCGTTTCGTTCAATCTCATTCGTGCCCTCGATTAGGAACAAATTAAGGTTAGGTGAATAAGGCGTCGGTTAACCTGCTCAAGACGCGGCTTCATCCCTTCCGTGGAAGCCTTCGACTCAAGCATATAGCTTGCGGAAAGCTGCACGAAATTTAGGAATGTGTTTCACTTCAATAAAATAGAATTACATGTGTATTTATACAATTATAATAATAGTAATAACTTATTCCTAGTAAATGTCATTTTATGCATTTATTGGCTTAAAAATATGGTACAAATTAACAAAAATAGACCAAAACATTGGCATAATATACACTTGCATACTTTATTTGCAGTAATATCCGCTCATTAGCTTCATAACCACACAAACGTGCTGATAACAAACGCTGGTGCTTTCATATTTATTATATTCAAATATAAATCCTGCCCTTCTAGTTTGCAAAATGCACAGTTGTGGCATTCTGGTGTAAAGGATTATTTATGACGTTTTTCCAAATTAGGATTATTGAACTTTTATAATTTTAGATATATCACAAGCTATTTCATCAAGATAACAAATAACAACGAAAATCACTCGTGCGTTATGTGCAGCTCATTTTATGCAGATATTTCATTGCACTTTCCTATGAAATGCGATATGACAACTATCATAAATTGAGCCGCGTTCAATGTAAAAGTATTAATGTTGAGCTGAAAAACGCATCACGTAAAGAAAATGGGCATTCTATATTTTCTAGTTCAATTTGCTCTCAAAAAATTTAAACAAATATTAGCAGAAATTGGTAATCAGACATTTTTTTGTGTTATTATTACTATTATTATTATTACTATTATTATTATTACTATTATTATTATTATTATTATTATTACTATTATTATTATTATTATTATTATTATTATTATTATTATTATAGTTTCATAATGCTACTACCAATTTTATGAAACAGAACCAACGAATACCATAGAGCATGACCAGTACCTGCCAGGGGATTCCTCCGAAGATAAGCAGCAGCATGCTGTCGATCCACTCGGCCAAGTCCTTCCTCTCTATGGTGCCGATCCAGTCCACCTTCTTCACCGTTTCATGGTTCACGGCCGAGTGGTGGTAGGCAAACGGCGCAGACAGGACCTGCAAACAGGGGGGGGGATTAAAATATAAGCAGACTAAGCAAATACGCGTACTAAGGAAATACTTAGTGTGCTCTAGAGGGCTCACAAATGTTTTTTAAACAAAATGTTATATTAGGTCACAAGTATGTATCAATATTTCAAGTTAAATTTTGAAATTGGAGATGTTATAATTTATCTCCACACTCATTTTGATAATATTTGTTCAATATGCAATATTTTTTGAGGCACCATAATTAGTGGAACTTTGAGTTCCCTAAAATATTTATTGGGTGCTGCCTGAAGACTGTATCATCTGCAATGGCCATCAACAGCACTTGCATATTGAAGGAAATGTACGGGCATGCAAGCGTCAGTTTCAGTGTATTTGTTGTGACTCGATTCCATGCCACAGGCTTTGCGGTCACCTCTTTGCAAGTGTTGAGCAACCTTACATTTTATAAAACACGTAAGTTACTTAATCAACTGTTTCTACAGTTGTGGATGTTGATAAGGTTTAATCGTAACTGACTCACAAACAAGAATCAGTTTATCGGTTGGGGAAAAGCAACCTTTCCTGTTTGTACGAGGCCAATTTTCGATTTGTGTGGTGACCGTAGAGACTCCTAAGGCGTGTACTATTTATGAAGGTAAAAAGACATGCCGTAGCCCTACGGTACTCGTAAAACGTTATGGCGGCAATGTCCATCACGTGACGGTTCGTGCATAACGCGTGACGCTAAAACTTCCCGTTGCTGGTCGCAGAGTGCGTTTCCAGGCCGTCGGGCACTGCCCTGCGCTGGGGCTGAGCAGAGCGGATTCCAACGCTATGTGTTCTAATTCTCGCACCTTTTGTATTCAGCCTCGTGGTTTTGCAAATGCACGTACTATATAATCTCTTATAAACCACGCTCATACATAGCGCTCAAGAAATGACTCATCAGTGACGCCTTGCTGGTGAGAGTGCGTCCAACAGAAATTATGTTCGTAGCACAAGCTACAGCTGGAAACGTAAATTGCGTAATCATCACGATCACAATAGGTGTTGGCAGCGTTGTCCCCTTCGCTTGTTTCCCAGTGATCTTACCCACACCAATGCAATTTTTAGTAAGAAGCCCTGATTTGGAGAGACTTTCCTGGTTCACTGTATTTGTTATTTGTATTTATCATTTATCGATTCAACGGTCTTTTGGTTTTTTTATTGCAGTTCACTAAGTGTTAAAATGAAACGAAAATGCGGTTTGCTGTTATATATGATTGAAATTAATCAAAAATAGTAAATTTGAAGTGTGGAGAAAGATTGTTTATTATACATATTGTAGAGCCAAAATTATATTTACCTACACATCACACTAACAATATTTTCAAAATTCGTGACTGCTCTGAACATTTTCATAAACTTATTTACCAATCTATCCTAAGGAAATGCATTGGACCATTATTTCAGTCGCCACTGTTCTTCAAAAGACACAAACTGACAGCTCAGAAATCTACATCTATCACGTAATTTCGTTAGCAAAATAGGGAGTTTGACTTCGAAACTTTTTGAAGCAAGGCAAGATTCACAAAATAGCAACATTACAAACTACACGATCCGGAATATTGCCATACACTCCCCTCCCTGCATTTCGAAAGCGTTTCACATAATCTCCTTCACCACTCACCAGGCCGAAGACGATGCAAGCGAGCTGCAAAACGTCGGTGTAGGTGACGCTGTAGAGGCCGCCCACCATGGTGTACGAGGCGGCGAAAACCGCGCTCACGATCACCGACGTCGTGGAGTCCAAGCCCAAGATCACCACAAGCGACGAACCTACGACAGAGAGGATTTTAAAACTCTTTGAGGTCTACCAACCAGGCCTGTCATCTGTTTGTTCAAAGAGTTTCTGTCGTAATAGACGAAGCGTGAAATAACTCAAGTAGCTCTGGAATAGAACAAAACCAATTCTTCCACTCTCCCAATTTCAATTTTTCATTTAATTGTACCTGAAAAAGTTCGTCAACCAGAAATTCGTGGTACAACAGAGCATTACTTCTCGCGTTATTTCTAACTCTTGCTATTTTCAATAATTCAGAGATTTCAACAAAAATGAGAACTGCAACTTTTTAAGGGCCCGTTGCTCTATCAGTCGAAAAAAAATTAAGAAAAAAATTGAATCCGTTTCGAGGATTATTTTTATAAATTGCAGTATCTTCAAGCAGAAATTACGTGACTACTCGTTTTTTTTCAAAAAAGTGTACATGGTCATTGTTAAAGATCTGATAATTTAAAATAATTTAAAACAAATTGCATTTCAAAAAATCTATTTGCGATATTTTACTTTTTGTAATATTTATTTTGAAATTTTCGTAAATACCAAGAGTTCACTAGTACTAATATTTTTACCGTCCTTTGATAAATATGATAAAAAATAAAAGAAAAGATTTGAAGTCCTTTTTCAGAAAATAATGGTTTAAAAATTACCTACACTTCCCTAAACATTGCGCAAAACTGATGTCTTCGAAAAATTGTGCAGTACCTTATTTGAAGATCTATTTTAGTACAACAGAATTTATTGCAAAAAACTTTATTTTTAATATTGAAGTTGTAGGAAGATACCGGAAAAAGTTTTAACTTTTGCAATTTTCGCAATATCAGGGGTTTCATGGACAATGAGATCTGCACAATTTTTAAGCGTCTTTTGCTCGATTTGCGAGAAAATTTGTAAACCATTTGTGAGAAAACTTTGAAGACTTTGAGACTTCATGTTAAGTACCCCTCTCCCCCCCCCCCCAAGAATCAAAATATTCGTTTCTAACTTCCAGGTCTCTGAGCTCTTTCAAATTGTATGAATTTCAATTTTCGGACGGCAGACGGACGGACGCAAGGACACACGCACTGACAGTAGCAAGTGAAATTCAAAATTCTACTTCAAACTTTATAAATTCTATAGTAAGTTACACGGTACGTTTCGTAAAGTTTATCTCAGAACGTGAAACAAGACATGAGAGGGTTGGTATTTAGTTGGTGATGAATAAACAAACGTGAATAATTGGCAGTGTTTCGGGAAGAAAGGAAGTGCTTCACATGGGACAAAGGGACAAAGCAGGAAGTATAAGGTGGAGGTGAGGATGACTCCATGACGACGGATTCGATTGGTGGAACAGCAACATTAACAGACATTTTGACGCGCCTGCCTGCAGTTCAGATGTGCGAATCAGTCGGTCTTGCAATGTCGACAATTGGACAACTTTTGGATTAATAAGTTAAATTATTTATCTGACGGCAATTGAGACAGCGGAATATTCCATTGACAACTTTATTAAACTCGGTTTGGACATAATATTGTCTGTTGGAACTCGAACCTCAGGACCTCCTGGTCAGAGGCACCTTTAGATTGAGAACATCTGACACAACGTTGCCATCCGCAAATCCCAGTCGATCCACTCACCCAGGGCGTTGAAGATGGCGCCCACCCAGAAGAGGTCTCCGCACACGGCTGGCACGAACATGAGGCCTCCGACGCGGCTGCCGTACTTGCGCTGGAACGGGTCCAGCATCGTCACGTACTCCGCGCGCCGCATCTGCTTCACGAACAGCAGCACCCCTGCAAAGAGTCGCCACGTCAGAAGCCACAAATCCATACAAAAGAAAAGGTATTTGCGTAATAGATATTTTTGAATCAAGGAAGTTGTAATGATCGAACGGTGACAAAATACTAGAGGGCCTTTGGCCCGAGGACTTTCTGTCGCCCGAGCTCATTCGAACTAGTTAACGATCGTGACAGATTATATTATTTTTAACATCATTTTATTGATTCATATTTACTTATTTACTAATTAACTGTTATATTTCCCTTCCATAACTCCCGTTCGTAATTCCCTGCATAAGAGAACAAATAGCATCATTAAACAGTTTTCATGTTTCCCTCGTAACCACGGTCCTCTCGATTCAGGTAAGTTATGAACTATTGATCGAAGTCCGTATCGAAGGCAATACCAAACAATAATCTATCAGTAAAAATATATTCAAATGCCCTCGGAAATTTGTGCATTGAGAAGAGAAAATTAAATACATAGCGCAAAAGTAATTAAATTCAAATACCATTCCATCTAAAAAATTAACAGTGATCTGTAATTCATCTTTATTTCATCTTGTTGCTATGGCAAGGAATGCAGTTGAATGTGGTTCAGATAAATTCATATTGTGTTGCTAAGCACACTGTTAGCCATAATTGCGGCATAAAGGTCAATTTGCCGAGCACACAAATTGCGATACAAATGCGAAAATTGTATGTAACCGACAGTAATGTGATCAAATTTGTGCTACGCTGGATTGCTACGCTCTTTACCGTTTCACAATGACAGCGCGTTTCTGGATATACACTAGACGTTGCGACAGAGGTACAAACGGGGTGCATCTGTCACGTTCACTTGAAATGGTTATGCATTTTATACAAATAATCACATCAATTCGATGATGACTCAAAAAGTCTTATTGTAACGATAAAGAATTGAGTCTCCGGGTTTTCTTTCTGAACGCACCCATCTTTAATCAGACATGATCACGCCTCTGTTCCTCGAAGAGAGAGCAGAAACTGTCGTCTGTTTTTGTGAATGGGGAAATATTTCTATCTAGCTGTACTAATTGCTAGTAATATTCCTACAGTTATCCGTTCTCTTTCATTGGCTATAGTAAAGGATAATCGACAGTGTCAGAAACACCAGTGATGGGCGTCATTTTGACTGCGATAGAAATTATACAAATTGGAGTTGAGTAGAAGAATTTGTTGTGTCAACAAGACAATGATTTATCGCGAAATTTCTATCAGTTGGCTGTTAGGACAGGTGCTGGAATGTCATGGTGATGTACCTTAAGGACACACATATTTAAATATCCCCCTAATATTAACGTGCTCTTACGGAATCACTGACAGGTGCCTGCCATTCAGCGGCAGATATGATCGTTGCACTCGTATCTACTATTTCTAGGTTCTTGACTGAAGGAAATGATAGTGAAAAACAGCTCTTGCATATCTTGTCATTGACATCTATTCATTGCCACCTCTGTGACAATGTGGTGTTGAACCGGTAGAGATTGGTCTTCATAAAAAAGTGTGTTAAAGTGTAGTGACAAGTGGAAAATATCCTGCAGGCATTTATTGCTTCTCAAGGAAGACTTGGAAACTCTTACAAGTAGAAAAACTCTCGTTTGTGCACAGCAAGGCAGTCCCAAGATTGTTTACACCTACATATCTGGCCTACTTGATAGCCATATTTGTAGCCCATCGAATATCGGGGTCACCTGGGACAGCATCTTCAGTAGGGCCGCCAACTTCACTCACCGAAGAGCAGACTGAGACTGTAGCCAACCGGCACCTGGCACCACACCAGGCCCGTCGAGAATAATGCCTCCGCAGTGCCGTTGATGTAGCCACCTCCCACCCACGTGGCTGCAACAGGAAGCAAAATAAACATTACCTGGTGCAAAGCGGAAAGTTCTAGTTCCATTGTTAATGTCACGGAGACATATTTCTGGCTGCCTATATGGCACGATTATGACTTTATTTACAAATATCTGTTTAGCTTTAAAAGCTAATCAATGCAGGCACAATCTTACTAAGTTTTAGTTTCAAAATACTAAAATTCCATAAACTTTACGATGAAATCATCGAACAGGACACAGTTACTGACCCCACTAAAAAGAAACTACAGGTCCATACGCCATACAGTAAAGTAGCATATACCATACTCTTTTCCATTATATAGATATGACTTTTTAGAACTAAAATGTTCTGAATCAATACTTTTATCAGGGAAATGTCTGATCCGTCAATGAAAGACGCCTTGAAAAAGGCTGCAAGGCTTGAGACACCGTGTTTCATATTGTAAATGGAATGTTTGCCATGAAATTCTGATTACTATAAATGTGGATTACAGGCAACAGAAAATTTGAAAGTTTCATTATAAATAGGAATAAACCTGAAATCCTTGTAAAGGGTTATGACACATATCATGACACGTTTTTTTGCAGCCTGGACTCTTGTGAAGAGGAACAGTGTTTTAGTTCTGATCAGAACCAGATATCGTTGGTTGTAGCGATCAAGAAACTTTTTGAAGACGACTTGCGGAAACGGAGTTGCGAATTCAGGGTGAAAGAGGCCAGGATTTCGAACGCCATAGGATCTGCGGTGAGGTAGCACTGTGATCTGAGATCTGAGGGAAAAGAGTACTAGATGTGAGGTTCGCGATGTGAAGTCCAGCACACGAGCTCTCAAATTTGTGGTCCAAGATTAAACAGTGGAATGTTTCTTCCGGGATTCAACGCGGGAGGTCTGGGCGAGTGCGGGGAGCGAGAAGCGACGAGTGCAAGATGAGGAGCCCGGGTTTGCGGATGAGCAGAGGTGCTTTGGATGTGGCTATGGGGTGTGCAGAATAGGACCCACCAATCATGGTGATCACGCCGACCGTGAGGCCGAGGCTGCGTCCCGCCAGCATCACCTCCTCCTCGCCGCTGTTCTTCTGCTTGGTGCCTGCCCAGATGCCCACGCCCAGCACCGCCACGTAGAACACCAGGATGCCCACCACGCCCTCCACGTACACGGCCATGGCGCCCTCGCTGCCCAAGGGCCCTTCGCTGCGAACACCACAAACATTTCGTATCAACACTCGAAGCATTTTCACTCCTGTGACTGCACTCCCTTTTACTTTCTCGTCCTTATGAAGGTACTTTGCAAGAAGAGAAAGTTATGTTGGCTGCGCCGGAGACGGCAAAAAACTCTTTTTGCCGGGCCCTGCTAACGACAAATGGATAAACCCTGTTGCTAAATACAGAAAAATTCAGAACCTGTGTTTTGTAGGTGCTTGATACCGAAAAATCGATTGAAGGCAAAACCTCCATCTATCCGGCTACCTATCTTGGATTGCAAAAAGGACGTTTCAAATTTTTTCTTTAAATTTGTTTCACGGATGGCAGAAGGGATGTTAAAAAGAATAGCTTGTGTCTAATTTTCGTTGAACTGCCTGAATTTTCGAACATTGCAAATTTTGAAATAATGAAAAACAGTACGTTATGATGTAGCACCTTTAGTTTTAATTGAAAAACCACTACTTTGAAAATGAAATATTTTGAAAAACAGTTCCACAAAAGACCTTCTCTTCCAAAACTCTCCCCAGTTGTGAATGGGGTTTGATGATAAGACATTAGTGCCTAGAGGAGGTGCCTATGTTATCGTTTTGTGAAAAACAAAAGTACCAAAATTCACGTAACCTTCATCTACTTTCGACTGCCACGAAGGTCGCTTGGAATTGGACGTTTTTTTGGCCAGGAATATGGCGATATATTTACGATTCTTATCGTACAGTAGTTCTTAAAGATAGATAAAGGATCACTTCCAAGCAGAAGTCGATTTACCGGAACAAAACGCATAGAAAAGTTCTAGGACTTAAATCAATAGTGTTGTTATTTTTGACATCCAAAGAGAGCATTTCTCTGAAGAGTAGTAAACTACAAAAAATGCCAGCAAGAATACTTCAATCAATGTGAACGGTACATCTGTTGAATTGACCACTCGGATGTCCTTGAAAACTACATAAAGATTTACAACATTAAAAACAAGTATAGAACACACAGAGTTCTACAAGAAAAGGTAGAAAAAAGATTTTCTGACTTGTCTAAAACGGGCAGAAGACCTTGGAAAATAAAACAAAGTAGCTGAGCGATAACGCTATATCTAAACTTTAGGCATACGAAATAAAAATATCAAACCTTAACTCGCGCCATCAGGCAATCGCGCAATTTCTTTATTGTATATCCCAATATCATTTCACAACCATTAAAGGCTTCTAAGAAAAATAAAATATTTTTACTATTCACTCATGGGAAATAGTTCATGCGCTTACTCTTTATTAATTTGAAGTTTCACTTTGCTTTACGTGTACGCAAAATTAAATAACCCACTGTATTGGACAAAACCCTGAAGCATCATGAATCAATGTGTGTGCAAGGTTGTGAATCATCACAAAAGTATACTCTGGATGAAAGTTTTCATGAATTCATATTACATAAAATATTGAAATTGTGCAAAAGCGTCTTATGCCTAAAGTACTCATTTCGAAATATTTGTCTTTGCTTCTTTCGTAGCTTCTTCTGGAAACATGTCATTCGTACGCCAAAGCTCACTTTCTGTACTAGTTAAGTAAATATTTATTTTTGTTTACCATCATTTTACATTCTTACATATTATTATTATTATTATTATTATTATTATTATTATTATTATTATTATTATTACTATTATTACTATTACTATTATTACTATTACTAGTATTATTATTGTCATTATTAAATAAACGTAAAATCATTTACCATTATTTTTCAATCTTTTCCGTTTCTCCTGAAAGGCTTGAACTCATAACTTGATGTTTTCGTTTGTATGCTGATGGGTCTCCCATAATAGTTTTTTGACGAGTAATTCAAAAATACGAACGCAATAGTAGCTTCTTCAAAAGCTCTTTCAAGTAATTAGTAGTACTTATTAACACTTCACTGATTTAAACAATTTTTTCCCAATTCTCTTCTCTACCAGCATTCCTTTTCTATCAACTCATTCCTCCCTCGCTTTCACTCCTATCTTCTGTATGAGAAACCCTTCACCAAAATTGGGTACGCATTTTTCATTGAATGGCATCCTTTTTATTATACACTATTGTAATAAAAAATTGGAAGTGGTCAGGCGGAAGAGAAAGCTAAATGGCCTAAGCATCGCTACCTATAAAAGCATTTATTTCATTTATTTATTTATTTTCATTAATTAATGTATTTATTTTAATTTATTTATTTATTTAAATTTATTTATTTATTTATCATTACACATTGCGATGTTCTAGGATGTACTAAATCATTCATAAAGGTGTTTACTGCAGAAATCGTTATGTCACAGCTTTTTCTGCACACACAATGAAGTCGCGGTTGGCGGCTTTGTCACGTGACGCATTTGTTCTCATGAACACGATAATACCATCAAATTACAACTCTCATCATTCGTATTAACAACGAAGTACTTGAGTGCTCACAATATTAGCTCGAAAGACACAAGTTATACGATATTAATATGTCACGTTCCACAATCAATGATTATAACACACTAACTGTAGGAACCCCAGGAAACATATTAGATGTGATAAAGGAATCTGTAGTGAAATGTGATTGTGCAAGTACAACAGCCTCGCCGATAATATATTTCTTTCTCATATGTCATGCAATTCATGGAATGAAATTCATGCAATTGTTGCAAAATGTGAATTATTTACTTGTAACAATTATTTTATTGTACAGCTGACCTGAATGGCCTTCGTGGCTAGAACATGCACCTCTGTCGGAATGATCGCAGGGGCGAGTCCCGCTGTAGGCACGGTTGTTTGTCCTTTGTCATTCTTGTACGTTGTCGTGAAGGCCTTATGAGTCTACTGACCACAGACGGACGAGCCCACTAGTGTGTCAGTTCTCAGTGTAAAGGTTAATATGTGTCCCCAGGATGGACGTTGAAGGTACCTGGGGCGGAGACTCGGAACCGGCATCCCCTAAAGTAGGAAAAAGTCCCCGAAAAAACAATCAAAACAAAGTTATTTTATTGTATCTTAATTTTGAATTTTTAAAAATAGTATTTCAGAAAAAAGTGTCATAGAAATTCACAGAAAACTTCATAGAACTATTTGACAGAAAGACGTTTACTGAAATCTTGAGATTAGGGCCAAAAATGAACCAAACAATTTTCGTTTCAAATGACTCAACCTTGTGAAATGTATGCCTAGAAGCACTCCCACTGCCCCACCTTGTGGTGGGAGGGTTAGATTCGCGTTGGGAGGGCAAGACCGAGTGCTTCCGATGCGCGCGTGGGACTTCACAGCCATTTGGGCGCCAAGGCCTCTGGCAAGCGATAATGACGATAGACCCGCTCCCATAGCAGCGTCCTCTTCATTCTGTTCGTTTACGTAAACCCAAAATTAGACGGATGCATTACCCGCGATGACCTCGCGTGATGCGCGATAACAACAGAAAGAGACTTATGATGTTGCTTGAATAATCAACTACACAATAAACACCTTGATAATAGTATAAAATATGCGTTTTAAGGCATGTAGTATTAGTGTCTTGTTGCACGAGGGTCAAAATAAATAAGTTTTAAATTTACTCTCAAGTGGAATACATTTCAATTGTGAACTAATTACGTATTTTATGTAAAAGTTTATGAAGAAGCTAGCTATTTTAATTTTTTTTAATTTCAGAGATTTAAAATACATAGTACCACATTGGTTTGTGTAGTCTTTACAACACTTTAGTAACAGCTTCCAAGAAACCATCAGGTCTTAGACGTGACGCCATTAAACAACCTAAACATGAGTACGTTTATCTCCATAAGGCAGATATTACTCCTCTTCTCTGTTACCTTTTCATCCTGAAATATTCAATCAGAAATCTCTTTCGAATGAATATTCATTGCAGCCTTTGACGAGTATTTTCTTTGACTGACATTTGAAATAATTTAATGTTAAGATGTATGAAACAACAATAAAGTACAATTTCAAACAAAACAGTTACAAAGTTAATATGGATGTCTACAGATCAGAACTTTCTTTTAGCTAGTGCTGGAAAATACGCTGTTCGGTTTTAGTGAACATTTGCTCATGCCGTCCAATTAGGTACGTTTTGAGGCGAGAGCACAGAAGAGAATTTATTGAGTAGGCCCTAGTGCAGCATGCAAATAACCTCTAAAAATTAGTATTTCCCCAAAATATACAAACATCATATATTTCTGGTGCCTAACAACCTAGGTCTCATTACCTAAACAACATTTTCAAAAAATCCCTCTTATTTATTCAGAAGAACAACAACAGACCTAGGACTTTTTGCGAATGCCTGTTTTATTATTTTGATTAGTACACTCAAAATTAAGAATAAACACGCCCGATACTTAAATATATTACATGAACAACCTTCATAGTGGCATAAGCAAAAATGCTCTGTCCTGCAAGAGAGGAGTTCAGTATTACATCCAAAATGCATATTTAATTATTACAGCCTAAAATACCTATTTCTGCATTCCATTCTAAAAATGCCTATTCAGCTGTTTCTCCGTCCCAATTCAATGTCTAAAAATGCTCATTCTAATAATTCCATTTTCGATTTTTAAAATAGTCTTGTCTATTTAAAATCTTGTTTCATAGTCGAATCATCTCAAGGTGAAGTTGCTACGAAACACGAAACTCAGAAAAAAACCTCAATTCTTGATTCTAATATCCGTTTCAGCAGACCTTGATACTCTTTTTAGGGCTAAATCACAGTTGTATTGCAATTTTCTTAATCTTTTAAACAAAGGATACAAACGCAATTTTATTAATCATTGTAAAAGTTTTCTAAGAGGGTTCCTCATTTTTTATTCCCACAATTTATGTCACGCATACAACCTAGCTTATATCAATCGTTACGAGGAAGCCTTTATCGTCTTGACATTACAAGTGACAAGGTCTCAACAGCGATCATTGTGGGCACTTGCTTTTCAACGAGACAATTTGCGAAAACAGTCAGCACTAGGAACTAGGCCTGACCCATGCCAGTATGTGACGTTACAAAGGTAG